ACCGCAAACGTTTCATTTTCTTCTCAAGATGATTTTCTACCTCAGCTTTATAGACTTTAAAATAATACAATGCTTCATCTTTAGTTTTCAATAAATACAGGTAGCAAAATCTAGTATAATCATCTATAAATGTCATGAAGTATCTTTACCTCCTTTAGTCAATTAGCCATTCATTTCGCATAAATCAGAATGAATGAGTTCTAATGGTGCCAAGTTCCTCGCCTCAGCAGCCTTGTGAGGCTTGCACGGTTGCTTCGATTACACACACACCTGGCACCTAAAATCTTTGACTAAATTCAATTTCGGGATTAAATTCAGATTTGCAAGCCACGTGAGACAATCAAAATTAATGTGACAAAGTCGTGAATGCCATATATTCGACTAATCTAAAACATTAACATTGTTCACTACTTTATTACACACATCATCAAGTAAAGATAAGCGGAACAAGCCTCCACAATCATAACATTTTCTAACAAATGTTCCATGTCTTGACAAAACACACTTATTGGACTCAAACACAATTTTAAAGCCATCGTGACATATTTGAGAACCGCTAACAAGATTTTTCTTGATGGAGGGGACATGCTGCATGTTCTTTAATAGCACCGTCTTTCCCGAAGTAAACTTCAGAACGACCGTACCAACACCAAGAACACGCGCATGCGAACCGTTTCCCATCAGCAAGGCTCCAGTCCCGCCGGTCTGATAGGAAGTAAACAAAGAAACATCAGCACACACATGAATATTAGCACCGCTATCCATCCACCACTCAGGTGAAAGACAAACTGAAAGAACAAAAGGTAAAGAATTACCATACCCAGATGTTCCTCCTCCAGTCTCGCTAATCACCACGTTTGTTGATTTCTTTTCTTGCTTATATTTGCGGTCTGGGCACGCACTTGCCCAATGCTCATCACTCCCGCAAACAAAGCAACCTCCACCTTTCTTGTTGTTTTTCTTCTTAAACTGAGCAGTTTGCTTAGGCTTTGTATTGTTGTTCTCTTACATGTTCTTCTTCTTTTTATTATGGGATGCAAATGAGTTTTTCTTCTGTACCATATTGGCAGCGGAAGACTCAACTCATTTTCCACGGTTGTCTTTTGCTTTTGCCCTCTCCTCAATATCAAGAGATCCAATAAGCTCAGCCACGCTAAACTCTTATCTCTTGTGTTTTAGAGAAGTATCAAAATCCCTCTAAAAAGGTGGCAGCTTAGCGATTATACCGTCGGCCACAAACTTGTCGGGCAACAGACATGGAAAATGTTCTAGTTCCTTTGCTAGCGCCTGTATCTCATGAGCCTGTTCCACTACAGAACGGTTTTTAACCATTTTATAGTCATACAACTGCTCCATAAGATACAACTCACTACCAGCATAAGAAACTCCAAACTTTGCCTCAAGAGCATCCCATAACTCTTTGCTTGATGTGCAAGATATTTAGTTTTTCTCATACTTACTATGAAGTGCACTAATCACGGCGCCTCGAAACAGGTTATCGGCAGCTAAGAAGTTTTGCTCCTCCTCATAAGTAAATTGTTCAGGCTTCCCCTGTGCGGCGTGATAGCAGTCAACTACAACACCATCTTGGCATGCCATATCATTAAATTCTTGCCATCAAAATTATTCGGCCTCAAATCAGCAGCAAAACCATTGATAGAAAATTGCCTACCATTAGGTTTTGGATTGTTAGATAATTAGGCATTTTTATGGTCAATTTAATCCATAAATAAAACATCAGCAGGTTCATGAGAACATATATGTGTATGTGTATATCACTAACAAACACTACAGCATGCAAGTATGACGTACCGATCGATACAGTAAGTACGCAAAGTACAGTAATCAGAGAGATAAGAGTGTACCCAGTGGAGGGTCCCATGCCGAGGGTATCGTAGGCTCCATTCGCACTAGACGTAGTGCGCTGCTCGAAGTCCTGGACCACAGTCGATGCAGGAAGGTGTTCGCAGTGCAATCCCACGAATGGTCACCAGGAAGAAGACACATTGCTGTTCCGCGAGCGATCACCAGGAAAAAGACGTCTGCTACGTGGACGAGCAGTTGCGGAATCGCTCCCCAAAAACCTAATCGTCGCACACCCCGTGCAAGGTTCGTAGGCGGACGAGGGTTCCGGAGGCACCTGCTCTCCCGCTGCTCCGTGCGCGTAGAGGTATGGGACGGGGAAAGCCAAAGGGCGGCTGAGATGTGGTTTTTCTGGTTTCTCGGAAGCGAAAAGAAGGATTAGACTGACGGAGGACTTCTACTTCTATGCCTGCGACGGGGAGGGAGAAAGCCAGCGAAGAAACTCAGGAGACGGAGACACGAAGAGACGGTAACTGGCGCAATCAACTCGCCTCCACCATAAAGGAGAGAAACACCTGTAATTATATGGATTAAGTGGCAAAATCTAGCCATGCCTGCCACAGCCACGGCCCACGCCCACGCCCACGCCCCAGTCGGCGGCGCGCGCGCATGTGGCACTCCTGTGTCCTTTTCTCAGCTTCTCAATTAAGATGAATAATTTCCAACCAAATAAGCTGAGTCAACGTTCAGTCAAAATCCCGTACGGTATTAGACCATACCACGCTTAATGTTACATACCATAAAGTTTTATTTAATTTATTAAATATTATACGGGCCAAGCTCATAATATATCCAACAAAAAATATAGTATTCTTTTTAAATTTTGGGACAACCGCACACAAGGCACAAGGCATGTGATTTTTACGCGAAATACGCCTTGTGCAGTTTCTATGATTAGAAACCATGATCTCTTGTCTTGCGTAGGCCTCACTACCACCACGCTACACAATCACTTGTGATCAAGTATAGAATATTATCATTTTGTGTTAGCTTTTATGAGTCTTGTACTGAATATTCTAGCCCCAAAATGGTATAAGGGTGTCGGGTGTTTGAAAAATTCAAAATCTGATAACATAAACGCATATTTGGGCCCTAAACAATCTCAAATAAAAACTTCATCAACTACAAAAAGTTTTATATGTCGTCGAGCTCTGCAACTTTGTATAGCTAACATACATTACTACAAAAATGATTTCTAGTGGTGGCTATAATGGCATCTCCATAGATAGTTTCTTAGGTCGTTTTCACAGCTAGTGGACCAAGAAACCACCTCCGGGTATATATTTCTAGAGGCATCTAAGCCGACAACATCTGAAAATCCATTTTAAAACAATAATAGAAAATGAGAATTCTTTTTACATTGAAGCTAACCCCACTAGGCGACCACTGCGCAGTCGTGCGGTTTTTTTTTTTTTTTGCGCATGCGTTCTCGAACAATCGAACCGTTGAATCTCCCCATGCATTTCCTTTAATTTTACTTACCATCACAGGCAAGAGTTGCTGCGATAGAAAAAGGATAATGTTTTCTTTTCATTCTCATATGAAACGTTTTTTTAGAGGAGCCACCTCTAGAAATGGTATCTTAGTATTTTTGTGAAACTTTTGAAGTTTAACGTGTTGTAACATAAATATGCTACATGTAACCATGATTTTTCTTTGGAGAGGAGTTCCCTGGAACTCATCACAAGTTAGACGAACTCGCGCGAAATGGGGGGCACGCACACATGTTAGAGAAACTTAACAGCAGCCTCCTCCTCGTCCGTGACTTAATTTCCCAGTCAATGCGATGTTGCTTCCACACCATAAGATTTTGTCTTGCGTGATTGATGATGAGAAGTCAAAGCTACTGTATGTTCACCGCACGGACGACAACCTCTGGCCACATGCTGGTTTTCTCATGCATTTGTGTCCAATTGTGCAAATAAATATGCAAGTTATTGTTTCAGACAAATTTAACAGGTTGATGGAGGAGAGGTTAGTTGGAGCACTATGTTAGAAGGGTACAGGAAAATAATTAAAAGGAAACGATAAAGGGAAAGCTAACAACCGTTTATTTCTTGTAATAATTATTTGTCTTCCGGTTGTTGACATGATCGAGAATGGACTGAGACATCCGAACCTACGGAGTCGTTTGGACTGAGGCACAGAATGACATCGTCCGGCATCAAGCGGTTCCCTTTGTAGTTTAATCCTCGTAGTGAACTCAGCTCGTCCGTCACGAAACCGCTTGATGCCGGACTACTCCATCCGGCAAACCAAACAGCCCCTTATTCAACCGGCACATACGCTCGCAGACGGCGTCGTCCGACTGTTTCGCTTGGAACGAGTCGATGACTCCTTCATGCTGGCGAAGGGCATGACCCGGTGACGGATGGACTCGTTCGCTCCACCAAACCAAACGGTGCATATTTAGATTTGGATGTAGGTTCGGATGCCTCCGGACGGTTCCATTCCCTGATCCAGGCACGTGAGAGGTTTCTTGCACTGGTGTAGAATAGGGTCGGATAGCTGTACACGTACGTATCTGCTTCTGCTTGACATTGACTTTGAAACTTCCTCGATAAGAGGATGAAAGGAATGCATGCTCGCAATGCAAACTGCACGACTCTCGCAGCGCCACTTTCTTTCCTGCACCACGCCAGCAGCGTGCGTGAGCTCGCTGTATGCAAATATCGCAGCGGTGGGGTTACACACAAACCGTGTTTGAAATTTCTGATCTGACGACAAATTCGTGGACAAACAAACACATGGTGACGTACGTTCAGTCGTTGTCCCGTATCCGTTGGGCCAGTAGTGCGTGGGGGCCCATCCCATCCTCCTCCTTCACCTACTACCAGTAGCACCTCTGATGATCGAGTCGACTAATAGAGACGCGGCCAAAAAACTAAGTACACGCATGCATTACCAAATATATAAGCATCTCAGCTAGCTAGTTGTCATATATAATCATAAATAGTAGTGTCATTTATGGCCATTAGACGTCCCTCTTGGGTTGGGTTGGGCCTATATATACTCGTGCCATCTCTCAAACACATTTCATACATGAGCACACACACACAAGCTGCTAGCAGCTTAATCACTACACACACACTCCAAAAAGGGAAAAAGAAGCAAGGTGCTAGCTAGCTAAGCTAAGCATGGGCACCATCGATGACACCGCCGGGTTCCCGGTGACGAGGACGAGCAGGTCGCTGGTGCCGCCGTCGTCGGCGACGCCGCTGGAGACGCTGCGCCTGTCGGTGATCGACCGCGTGGCGGGGCTGCGCCACCTGGTGCGGTCCCTGCACGTGTTCGCCGGCGAGAACAAGGCGGCGGCAGCGAAGCCGACAACGCCGGCGAAGGCGCTGCGGGAGGCGCTGGGGAAGGCGCTGGTGGACTACTACCCGTTCGCGGGGCGGTTCGTGGAGGCGGAGGACGGGGAGGTCCGGGTGGCGTGCACCGGCGAGGGCGCCTGGTTCGTGGAGGCCGCCGCGGCGTGCTCCCTGGAGGAGGTCCGTCACCTGGACCACCCCATGCTCATCCCCAAGGAGGAGCTGCTGCCGGAGCCCGCGCCCGACGTCAACCCGCTCGACATGCCGCTAATGATGCAGGTATGTGTGTGTTGTGATCACTGCACTATATACATCTCCATGCATGCATGAATCAAGCAGTAATATATAAATAACATGCATGCCTAGGCCTAGCTAGCAAGCTAGGAGTAGTAGTTTCATGATGCAATATTTTTGTTTTGCATGTACTAGCATGCAAAAAGAAAAAAAGAACCATTGTATAGTTAGTGGTGAGAAGCATGATTAGTAATATAGTGAAAAGAAAGTTAATCAGCGAATCACACAGTGAGAAAAGTTAGAGTGAAGGAAAAGAGAAAGAACCCTTAGTTTGAAGCTAAGAAAAAGATATGATATAGGGATTGTGGTTGAAAAAGGTACGGCCCAGTTGAAAGGGTACCGGCGTCATTCGACCAGGAAGTATATATGATTGTTGAAAAGAATTTCGCACTTAACCAGCTAGCGACATGCATGCAAAACCGTGACGTATGACTGGTCAACCATATATATACATGCATATTAATCATCAATTCTTGTCTCCGCTAGTTAAAAAAAATGGTTCCGTCATCATCATTGTATGCTCTTATTATATATGTATATATTATTAGCTATAGGTACGTACGGTGGACTACCGTCCATACGTATTTCATCTTTATTATAAATATATGCGCAGTGCTATAAAGAAAATAAAACAAGGGGTGCAATGAAATCGCAAGGTTTTCTAAAAATAGAACATATATATGTCTCTGTTTTTTAGTTTGGGATGACAACGTGTCGTCGCCGTGCACGATTTTTTTTTTTTTTTTTTTTGCGACTCAGGGGTTTCATTCCTCAAAGAAACATCAGGGCTACAATCAGCAGTCATCGGGTGGGCGACACAGGACGGGGCAAACTGCAGTCGCAAAAAAAAAAAAAATTCGTGCACGATTAATTAATAAGCAAATAAATGGTGTACTTAACAGTGGGTGAGAGGAGCTACTAATAACGTACGTAACAGGTGTCTATCGGTCCATTCCACGGGTAGGTGAGGTGCGGACTGACTGATGTGATGATGATGAGCTAGCAGCACCACCAAGGCGTATGTACGACGTACGTAACAGGTGCCGCGCCGTTTGCATCCGTAGTGGCCTCCTTACTCACCGGTCACCACCGCACCCGCACGTCCGCGCTCTGATCCCCTCCGTCCTCCTAACCAATTTCTCGTGGCCCTTATTTTCCCACTCTCTTCCGTCGACAGCTCTACCTGTCAATTGTCATGGCCCACCCGTTCAAAAAAAACCATCAAAAAGTGACTGCCCTGTTGACTTGACCTCGATGCAGCTGAGGTACGAATCTATGGACCAAGGTACACGATGGGTACCCATTAGCTAAAAACGATCGAGCCAAAGCCAACCACTGGACAGACATGGATATGACAGCTTTAAAAATTGATTTGTCAGTCTTTTATTGGTCCATGAACTAGGTTTGTTTGGTTTCTCCCCTAAACTTTAGTCGTTATCCTATCATATATTTAACATATGGATGGAGTATTAAATATAGATTAATTACGAAACTAATTGCACAGCTTGTGACTAATTTGCGAGACGAATCTTTTGAGCCTAATTAGTCCATGATTTGACAATGCAGTGCTACAATAACATATGCTAATGATGTCTTAATTATGCTTAATAAATTTATCTCGTACAATATTGATAAATTTTATAATTTATTTTTTTATTAATATCTGAACGCCCGAGCGACACCTTCGTCAACCTGTTAGCGCGTCAAAAAGAAAAAGGCTCTGGGTACTAACATCTGTCTGGATGATAACGTACCACAGGCCGGCCGGGTGAAAAGCTACCTGGGCATGCAGGTCAAGTGCCTCCATCGCTCACGTAGCTTATCTCTTGCTACCAAATTTTAACCTCCCATCGATCAATCATCAGATATTCCTCCTTTACGTACTACACACGTCGTACGTCGTTGCTTCATCATCCTGTACTTTATATATATATATATATATATATATATATATATATATATATATATATATATATATATATATATATGTATGTAACTGGCTACAAAATAACTTATTCTATATCCACTTTACGTTACGATAATTACTTTGTTAATTTACGAGATTATAGTAACTCTTATTAAGTGGTTTACTATAACATTACGTTAAATATCCTCATGTGTTATACTAACCTAAATATCGTAAATATGACGTGGCTAACTAATTAACTCTACTAATCAATTATTTTCATCTCACCTTAATCATTGTTAGCCTTATCAAGTTACTAGTATACCGTATTTTGCTTATTGGCTTCTCTCACTCATGACGATGGAAATGGACACGTACGTGGATGGATGAAAAACTGCAGGTGACGGAGTTCACGTGCGGCGGCTTCGTGGTGGGTCTCATCTCCGTGCACACCATCGCCGACGGCCTGGGCGCCGGGCAGTTCATCAACGCGGTGGCGGACTACGCCCGCGGCGCCGTCACCAACAAACCCCGCATCACCCCCATCTGGGCGCGCGACGTGATCCCGGACCCGCCGAAGATGCCGGCGCCGCCGCCGCGCCTGGACCTGCTCGGCCTGGTGTACTTCACGACGGACCTGAGCCCGGACCACATCGCCAAGGTCAAGTCGCGGTACCTGGAGGCCACGGGGCAGCGCTGCTCGGCGTTCGACGTGTGCGTGGCGCGCACCTGGCAGGCCCGCGTCCGCGCGCTCGCGATCCCTGACCCTGCCGCGCCGGTGCACGTCTGCTTCTTCGCCAACACCGCCACCTGCTCCCGCCACGGCGGCGCCGGCCAGTGGGTTCTACGGCAACTGCTTCTACACCGTGAAGGCGACGCGGCCCAGCGGCGAGGTGGCGGCGGCCGACGTGGTGGAGGTGGTGCGCGCCGTCCGGGACGCCAAGGCCAGGCTCGCCGCCGACTTCGCGCGGTGGGCGGCGGCGGGCGGGTTTGATCAGGACCCCTACGAGCTCACCTTCACCTACGACTCCCTCTTCGTCTCCGACTGGACAAGGCTCGGGTTCCTCGAGGCCGACTATGGCTGGGGCACGCCGACACACGTCGTGCCGTTCTCCTACCACCCGTTCATGGCCGTCGCCGTCATCGGGGCGCCGCCCGCGCCCAAGCCCGGCGCGCGCATCATGACCATGTGCGTCCAGGAGCAGCACCTGCCCGAGTTCCAGGAGCAGATGAACCAGCCGTCCTCGTGATCGATCATGCATCCAGGTGCAAGTTTGGAATTATTTGTCAATAAACGAACGAACGAACCGTACGTCGTCGTCGTCTTCTTGATCGACGATGAGCTTGCTATATAAGTACACCTCGACAACTGAATGGATTCGAATTCGCGTGTAATTTGCTTCTTCTTTTTATTCAAATTTGCCACAACTAGCGTTGTAAATCCGTCCGGCCTACTTGTATGTATGTATGTATGTATGTATGTATGTATGTATGTATGTATGTATGTATGTATGTATGTATATGTATGTCAACACCGTATACCTGCCCGGCTGCCCAAAAATGTCGGCCTAAGCTTTTCTTCATGCACCTGTAGCAATTCACGGATGAGTGAATGAAAATATGAAATAAAGGTCCATGATTTGTACCGCATGCACATCTCCTATACTACAGGTGCCTCTGTTGTTCGGCGGTCTTAGAAAGTGGCTTGAGGGAGACAGGCCGGCCACGGGGAGCACGAGGGCGCCGGTCGGAGCGGCAAGGCGGCGGAGCGGCCACCGATCGTGGATGGTGGAGGAAAACGGTTGGCGACGGGAGGGGCGGAGGAGGATCCAGCAACGCCGGGTTAGAGGGACAGGGGGCAGGAGAGGCAAGCTCGACGTAGGGATGCCGTCGGGGATGGGACGTGGCCGGTGGTAGGCTGGGGAGCGGGCAATTCTCTTTAGGTTGTGAATTATACTCCTGGTGCATATTTGTATCATTAGATTACTAATAATTAAATATATTTTTATAGTAAACTTATTTGTAGATACAATGTCATTAAAATTATCTACAAATCTATTTAAAAAAGTTTAACCAACATAAATTCTACCGTGACACTCATTTGGGAACCGAGGGAGTATTATGAACCATCAACGTCTTGTGATTTATGAACCATAACGTCTTGTGATTTATGAACCATCAACGTCTTGTGATTGAAATTTGGCTGAAACTGACAGAGTATAGTATATATATAGTATAGTTGGCAGGATTTGACTCATGATCGTGTCGGCCGAGCTAACAAACTGAAAGTGCGATGGATGTTAATGAAGATAGCTTAGCTGATGTGCAACCTAACCTTGTTTTGTGGGCGGCGGGCCTCACTAGCTAGTAAATTATTTCACCTAGGACTATCTATCTATGTCTATAGCGTACTGAATGTCTGAATCTGGAAGTGTCGAGTCGTCTGTCTGTCGTCGTCGTCCTATGCTTTCTGGCGCCAAGCTGCTGCCGGCATGACGTATGCAGCCACGAACAGGAGCACAGCACAGCCGATTTTTGTTTCCTTCTCGACGTTCTCCCTCGATATCTTAACACTCGAGATTTGTCATTTTTATGTGAATTATTAGAGCAGAACGTACGATCAGTTTGAACAGCTTCCATATATTTTCTTTTTTGGCACTGATGACGCATATCGTGCATAGTAGTATGAAGTATATATATAGAGCCACGGCGCGTGGGCTCTGGGAGCTCGGGCGATGCAGGCACCGTGGGTCGTCAGCCACAAAGCTCTATTTGTTGCACCCTTAACTCCTGCTCCGTTTGGCCGGTTGACCACGGTGGTTCGCGAGACTATGGTGGGGTCGAAATGGACAACACCATTCCTGCCAGCGGTGGTCGCCGGCGCCGACAACGGAGGCGTCATGGGCGGTTGGCAGGGGCAGCCCAGGCAGCGCCGGTCTTCGCCTTGGCCACTGCTGGAGCCCTGGCCAAGCACGGTGAGCTGACCAGCGAGACGGGGGCTCCTGCTGACAACGCCGCCCCTTCTGCTGTTGCACACTGCTCCCCCGAGACAGACCTGCTGGCGTTGGAGCTGTGCAAGAGCATGGGGCCTCCCACGTGGGTACACCCAATGTTGGAGGAGCTTGACGCCTCGCTCGTCGTGAGCCGGGCAGTAGGAGCACCAGTGCTAGGGTGCCAGCCTACTCAGGTGGCCACCCCTCAGGAGGTTAAAGCATTTGTGGTGGAGATGGCACTGCTACATATTGACTTTTCACCGTCGTCACTTTCACTGTCGTAGCGATAGAAGCGACGGTGTTATACTTCCACCGCCGGTTGGACTGATAGCGAGGCCTCAAAGGGAAGGAAACCAGCAGTTGAAAACCATCAATGCGGCGGTGGTAGTGGGGTTGAATTCCACCGTCGTTTGGAATGCTGAGCCGACTGAGATAGGCGTTATAGCTGCCGGCCCTACACGACCGTTTGGTGTATCGGCGGTAGTAAATTCAGCGTGAGTTATTTTCGCATTTTCCAACTACCAACAACACAGTTGCATCACCATTACTTTCCTACGGAGTATATGCCTCGTCTCCCCAGATGCTTATACTGCTCCTATCTGCTTCTCCATCTTCAAGGTTGGCCTATTTAAGCGGGGGTTGGATGCGCTTCTTAGCAATCCATACACTCCTTCCTCCTTAGATACAAATAGATACAGACAAAGCTCATGAGCCAACCAGCTATATTTTCTTCATCGCCATGGCGCTCCTTCTCGAACTCCTCCTGCGGCAGCAGCGGTGTTGGGAGAAGGCCTTCAAGATTGGGTACTACTGGCATCTAGGTACAGTGGGGCTGCTCGATCTAGGTGCTAGTGGAAGTTTTGCGATTAAGGGGGTTCGCTTATTTGGGCAAGCCAAGGGCTACTCAATGGACTTTGGTATCCCTGGTTTGCCCTGCGCATTTCTTGTGCTGATTCACCATCCCGGTGCCCTGGCGATCCTCCTTCCTCTGGAGTAGCAGCGACGACGGTGGCGCTTCTCTTCCCCGCCTGGCTGCCTCCTCTTCTTCAATGCCTCTATCTCCCTCGTGCTCGTGACCATGAGAGGTGTAGCAGGGAAGGTAAAGCACCTCACTGAGATGCTCCTCTTCTTGCCTCTATCTCTCTCGCGCTCGCGACCATGAGAGGTGCAGGAGCAGGGAAGGTAAAGCACCTCACTGAGATGCTGGTGGAAGTTTTGCGAGGTGCTACCTCCTCCTTAGCTTGCATTGCCTGTCTCCAGACTCGACTATGGGATGTACCTGTACTCATAGGTCTTTGTTATTGTACACCTAGTAGTCTTCGATAGGTCTTTGTTATTGTACAACTATGGAATGTAACTGAAGTTATTAATGAAATTGTTGTGATGATTGCTACTGTGTTAGATGAGGATGAAATGTGGTAGGGAATCAAATGTGCCAGGGAATCTCAACCGCATCGTGTTCACCGCTCCGTCGCCCGTGAATCACGTGGGTGGCCGCGGATGTCACGGACCTTGACTGTTGCCTTCCCCACGCGTGTCTTGAGGTGGTGCTATTTAAGCCAAAGTAAGGGGAGCCCCTCTAGCAAACTCCAATCCTACTTCCTCCCTTAGCATCAGAAAAACTAGAGAAAACCTTGAGTTGCACGTAGTCTCCCGTCGCCATGGCCTCCCTCATCCTGCATCGACTCCAGCGCCGCTGGGAGAAGGCCTTCAAGATTAGCTTCCGCCAACACCTATGTGTGGCTATATGCATGTTTGCTCAATTCCTCGGTGCTAGTGGAAGTTTTGCGACGGTGCAAGGGAACATGCTTGTTTTCCTTCCTTCTCTTCTGCTTGGAAGGTAAAGGGAACACGCTTGTTCTGCCTCTTGCTCTCTCTCGACCGTGAGAGGTGCAGATGCCAGTGGAAGTTTCACCTCACCTTTTCTTTCTCTTTCTTGAATAGCTCTGTGTTCCCATTTCCAAGCCTATTGTTCAGTCTGAGGAATCGAAACGTGAGCACCACCATATCCTAATCGACAAGGAAGTTAGTACACAAGAAAGATGGACAAAAAATGGTTTCCTTCATTTTTCCTACTACTAAACTTACATGTTGACAATTAGTGATGCGCCCAGACCCGGCTTAAATAGTGATGCACCCGTTTCATACATTGTTCATTCTGTATGTTCCCTTGTTCTCAGAGTTATTAGGAGAGCACTAAACTAAGTTGCATTTGATGTATCTCTCTGTGACATGTTTAAATGGACCAATGGTGTTTGATTGTCTATGGACATGTTAATTTCCTCTAGGATGGATGTTGTCATTATTGTAGCTAAACTAGTGTGCCTTTGTTGTGTTTGCAAATTGGATTATTTATCTAGCACAAAGAGTACGGTGGTGTGACAGCTCCCGTCGCCGTTTCATACGGTGATTCAGCGTTAGTTTTACATAGCCTAGAGGCCCACGTCCTCCTTAGATAGGAGGAAGAAGTTAAGAAGGACCGTGAGACAATGAATAAGGAAGGAGCATTGTAGTACAATACTAATATTGAATTAATTACGGAGTTGTTTCCTATATTCACTCTCGCAACAGAAAATCAGAAGCTAACAGTCAAGAGTGAATTAGTTTCCTATTCCAATTGCCTTTCCGAACAAAATAATTTCACGGCGAAGCCTACAGTCCTCGCTGCAAAGCAGAGTCCTTTGTTCCCATCCTTTTGGAATGCCACAATCGGCACCTGCGCACTCAAGATCGCCGCGCTCCTGTGCCGGCGGCGACGGCGGCCACTTGTTGCACCACCACGTCGTTTTGTGGATCAAGTTCGTGGCCGCCTCGCGGCACAGCCAACACCCCTTGTTGCTTAGCCGCCTACTCGTTGGTCCGTTGTCGCTGCCCACGATTCTTCCTCGCCCTCGATCCGTCTTATGTACCGCCTCATAGTGTTGTCGTCGCCAGCACCGCCATTGTGCCTATAGAGGAATATGGCTACTAGATAGGCCGCCATATTGTGCCCACCATCAGCGGCGCGGTTGAGATAGTCGAGGCATGGCTGGGTGCTATGGTTTTCCACGAATACGGCTTGTATCCCGGTGAGAAAGCAAGCCTCCAGGTTGCTGAACTGGGTCAGTCTAGCAAGGAGGGAGAAGTAGTTGATGTAGTCGTTTGGCGAACTGGGTCAACCTAGCAAGGAGGGAGAAGTAGTTGACGCAGTCGTTCGGCGAACTAGGTCAGCACTGATCCACTGCCACGCGCTGAGCGACAGCGGGGTCACCGCAGAT